CCGCCCCGCTGGGGGCGGCGCCCGGGCGGCTCCCGGGGCAGCGGCGGCGCGGAACCCCCATATGCAAGTGATGATAGGGATGTACTATAACATATATCTAAATACTGTTTTTACATAATCCCATTTTTAATATATGTATTAAACAAATTTATTTGGCATACGTGACTATTAGATTCCCTTGCAAGCCCTGTGCTCACACACGCACCCGTGCGCACCCCCTCCTGCTGAGGAAAAGCAGAGGGTCCCTCGGCACCCGTGGCCCCCCGGCTCCCTCGCACCACTTGGACACCAGGAAGAGCCCCAGGTTTTACTGCAGCCTGGGGTTACAGACTAGAACAGCGGTGTAAAAGGCCCCGTGTGTTTCGCTCCTCCATCACCGGGTACAGCGGGACACGCAAGGGGAAGATTTCAGTAACAAGGACAGATCCATCACCACCCATTTCCCAAATCTACTGCTGGGGGCAGCCTTGGCCAGGGGTTCCCCCTGCCCGAACCCAGCACGGCGCATWAGGGGGGCTCCAGCTCTTCCCCCACTTGCTGGGGACCCATCATTGTGACCGCAGGTCCCCTGGTTGTGAGGCTCTCCAAAAAGAGAGCGATTGCTTGAGACAAATCACGCTGCTATCAGAAATCACCCTAGTTTCTGTCCACATGGTCTGGATCCGAATGTGAAATGTAGATAAAAGTCTCTTTATGCCAACTTGAAACCCAGGCTCTCTCCTCAGGAAGAAGGACAAGGGCAGATCTAAATCTGTGTTTGGTTCCTCTCCTGCACAATCTGGCTGGTGCTCAAGTGCAGACAGATCTGGAAACGTGGTGACACCCGCCTGGTGAGGAGCCCGCAGCGCCTGATCGATGATAACCAGGCTGTGACAATGACAGAGAGGTCTAGGACAGTGACAGGGGCAGCCGACATCCTCCGGATCCCAGGGGCCGCCGGTGCCACTCCCGTCTCTTCTAGCTCGACAGAGCTCTGTGCATCCTCTCACACACTTCGCTGGGGCCCAAAGTCACCATCATCTCAGCAACACTTGGTCCATGCTGAAAATATGCAAGAAGTCACTGTACAAGAGCAAACTTAGGCTTTTCAGTGCAAGTTCATGCATCGCCATACAGGAAACAACAAAATGATTAGCTACCAGATTGCTGTTAGATCAAGGGTAGGACTCTTACTAGAGGTTTATAGACAAGATTCAATTTCCTTTTCTCCCCCAAAAGTAAAATGCAGTATGGGTCAAACTGAACCAAACAGATCAACACCACAGATTAAGGCAGAGTTAGACTTTGAAGAACTTGTGTTATAAAACTTGTTTTTGAAGCTTGTGAAAACTTGCACCGCACACAAGAACACAATGTTGTCCAAAGCCTACAGCCTTGGCAACACTCTACAGTCGATCCTGTCTGGATCCTGTCCTCTTGGTCCCAGACCAAACACTAACTTTCCGCAATCACAGAAAAATGAGAAAAATGGCTGCTAAAAGCCCAGAAGGCTCCAGTGCCTCAGAACTCTTCTTTTTACCTGCTTTCCACTGAGCGCCAAGCGGAGGAGCTTCATCATGCTGCTGTACTTGGTCTCTCTGCTTTGCTTCTGGAGGCTCTTGAGGTCTTTGTTCAACTCCTCCACGGTCCACACAGCCGCCTGCCTCATCATGAGCCTTCAGGAAAGAAGACACCCCGACAATGCCCCTCTGGGSGACAGAGGATTTCTACCCAGGAGTCCCAGGAGTTTCATCACAGTGAAAAGGCTGCGTGCAAGTAAGAAATGTCTCAGAGCAGCAGCTACTTCACACCRATTTTGCAAAATCTTCTGGCAGTGGAAGCAGTTTAAGATGCTCTTTCCTGCCCTTCCTGCCCATTTCGTGTCATGGCACTGGCCCTGCTCCCAGGCTGCTGGGGATACACACGGCTACAACCCACAGGCTGGCAGGTGGGCTTAACTTAATCTTGTGCTAAAGACTTTGCCTTGCAAAACCGCAACTTCAGCCTGCTCCAGCATCATGTTATCTGCGAACTGCACCGCACTCCACGCTGAACAGAAACCTGCTAGTGACAGGCCTCACCTCAGAGCATTAATCGAAAAGCTGGCAGCAGCCTTTCAACAAAAAAGGCACACAGTTTCTCACTGATTGCTAACTAGTGCGCATGCCCGAGCGAAGCAACGTAAACACTGCGAGCGTGTCCGACATGAGTGTGGCAGCCAAGCAGTCAATCTGCGGGCGAACAGGCGGGTGGCAGGGAGGAGGCTGAAGGAGGCACTTACCCCATGACGAGTTTTCCTATTTCATCTACTTCTGCAGAAATAGCTCGTAGCTGCTCTCGGGACACGGAGGGCCGAACCCATAAGTATGAATAATCGCATGACACCAGGTCCTTCAGGAAGCTGATGTGACCCTGCCAAAGGAAAGACAAGCTGTCAAGACTGAGGTTTAAGCTGCAGGGGGAAAAATGAAACACATTCTACATGCACTCTGCAGTTAGAAAGGGTCCTAATACACCACTATCTTGTCCTTCATACAGGTGCAGAAGAAACGTGAACGCTGACATGCAGCATGGTTAATTTTTCACACCCCAAGTGACCGGAGCGGATGTGGAGGGGAGCCGGGCGCTGCAGAGCCGGGGCAGAGCTGACCCCAGCGGCGCCGGGACGCGGCTCCCCGCGCTCGCTGCTCCTGCCCGGCCACGGGCAGCAGGTCACACGTTCAGCCTGGCCGCCACAGCCCAGTCCCCATGTCGGAGCTGGCAGTCGGATCCTTACAAAGGATGCTTCATTCCTCAGGAGAAACTCCTCAGATGACACAGTAACAACCTGGGGGCCCTTTGCTATTTGCAGGCTGCAGCGCTTCACATCGAACAACATCCAGGCACCACAAGAGTCTCCATGAAGGATCCCACAAAACCTCTGCTCCCCAGCATCCCAGTCCCCCCCCRAACGGCAGCAAAATGTTCCCGCTCCTCATACTTTCCTCAGCAGCAGAACCCGCTCCACATAGCTCTTCTCTAGAACCTCCTTATCCACGTGTTGATCCCCATAGACCTGCTCCACCAGCAGCTGCAGCTCTCTGATCAACTTCTGCCGCAGCCCCTCGTTCTGGATGTGGCGGGAGAGGTGGATCCTGYGACAAGGAGGAAAACGGCCCCGGGACCCGTCAGTCATACAGACCGTGTGAACCTAGTGCTCCCAGCCTCACAGCATCCACCACTTTCATCCATATGATTGTTAGAAAAACAGCATTAAACCACAGACAGGCACTGGAAAATCTTAAGCTCTAACAGAGCACATGGAAAGCTGCGGTAGCTGCGCAACCTCCCTGCACAAGCAGGAACCACGTGCAACACAGCGGGAAAGCCCCGGCTGCAGGAGCAGCATCGCGATCACACAGACACCATCACCAAAGCCAGGCGCTCCTAGCAGCCTGTGGACCAGCCAGAATTGTCTAAGTCCTAACGTTACCACTGACCACTAATACCTGTTGAATTCTGGGAGTTTTTCAAGATCCAGTAGTGCAGAATGGGTCGTAATTCTACCTATTTCAAATTGCAAGATCAGCTCCTCCAAAGTCCTCCCCATCTGATTCTCTGCAAGACAATCCAACAGGGGCATAACATGCATCCATCCTCCCGCCCAGCACTCAGGTCACAGCTTCTCATTCCAGACCCCAGGCTCAGCACAGATCCTGCTGCCACCAAAGGAAYAAGTGACACAGGGAGCAGGACACACACGGGTGCCCCCTGCACAGGACCAGGCTCTGCTGAGGAACCAGCAGCGGGACATTGCGGGTGGCTCTGGCACCCCTTGCACCGCGCAGCCCCACAGAGGAAACACTCAGCCAGGAAGCTTCACAGCCCGGGGATTCCCAAGCACCATTCCTGAAATACGGGCTAATTTGCAAACCCTGCACAACAAGGGCAACAAAAGGAGGAATTGACTCAACTCCCCACAGACTTTCAGGTTAAACAAGCAGTGTGGAAGATGTAACACATGATACTGCAATTACTAACCACAGAATTGAAGTTTCCCCCTGCGTATCTGCAGCCTCCTCCCCTGCAGCTGGACATCACCCCGGGCAGACACGCACAAAACYGAGAGCATCACACTGAGAGCATCGCACTGAGAGCCCCACGGTCCCCCTGGGGAGCTCTGCAGAGCACTGGTGGCCGCTCGGTGACAGGAGCACACTCAGCTTGCCTGCTTGACCCCYGTTCCCTGATCCCCTCAAGCCCGGTGCAAGTTCCTACAATAGACCCAAGGCTCTTTCCCCAGAACATTGAGTAGCTCCCGCATCGGCAGCAGGTCTGTTCTCATTACCTGTGAACCCAGAGCCACAGTGGGTTACGATGTCCAGCAGAGCCTGCGGCAGGTAGCCCTCCCGAGCCAAGCGCTCCAGGGAGATATCCCCCTGCCTTTTGGAGAGCTTGCCGCCGTCCTTGCCCAGCAGCAGCGGCAGGTGAGCGAACTGCGGGGGATCCCAGCCGAAGGCTCTGTAGAGCAGGAGGTGCTTGGAGGTGGAGGCGAGCCACTCGGTGCCACGCAGCACGTGGCTGATTCCCATGCAATGGTCGTCCACCACGTTGGCCAGGTGGTAGGTGGGGAAGCCGTCGCCCTTGAGAATCACGGGGTCGCCCTCCACGTCCGCCACTTCGTGCCGGCTCCAGCCGTACACCAGGTCCTGGAAGGGCTCCGCGCCCCTCTCCAGACGGAAGCGCACGACCCAGTCCAGGCCCTGTGACAGCTTCTCAGACACTTCTTTGGGCGTCAGRTGCCGACACCGGTTGTCGTATCTGTGACACAGGAGAAACACGTCTCAGTTCCATACAGGCCAATCCCTTCTGGCTTTTCCACATTCCCCAAACACCTATATGGACGCTGAATCAACTCCTAAACTGTAGCTTTAATCCTAAATCTACCCACTACATATCCAGTGAAATCCCTTTACCTCTGTAGGTCACTCCCCTGATCACATACGGGTTTTGCTGCCCTCCCCTCCTCCCATACAGCCAGACTGTGAATACTCCCCAGTTATGGTATTAACCACTGCGAAGGTGGTGCCAGGCTGAGCGCTCGTCCCTCCGACTTTGGCTTTGGCTTTGGAAGTCACCCTGGGCGGAAGCGCCAATAGGAGCCAAACGTTCCCGCTGCTCCCTGCGGGGCTGCCCTACCGTGGGGTTTGCTGGTGCCGCAGGGCCTCCCTCCGGAGCAGCTCCAGGCGCTGCGGGGTGCAGAAGCAGCGATAGGCTGCGCCCTTCTCCACCAGCTCCTCGCTGGCCCTCCGGTAGAGCTCCAGCCGGCGGGACTGCTGGTAGGGCCCGAAGGCGCCGCCCCGGCGCGGGCTCTCGTCCGGTGCCATACCTGGAAGTTCAAGGGCAACAGTCGGGAGAAGCCCCCAGGGCGGCTCCTGCTGCAGGGCAGGACAGCACTCGCGCTCCCCTACACTCACATTAACACAGTCTGCAGTGTTACAGTTCACAGGATGTAGTGAAGTCCTGCTTTATCAACCCAATAATGGAAACATTTGTGGAATCTGGTTCTAAGCCTAAAACAAATCTGTATTTTTAAACCACTCTCACGTCGTTTAGCTCTTAAGCTCTCAGAAAGAAGCAACTAATTCAGAATGGGAACCGGCACGTCGAGACCCCTTTCAGCAAGTCCTGCGCATGCAGCCAGCTCATCAACTGGACCGAGGTCTGCRAGCTGCCGCTTCCGAAATCCCGGTCATTTCTTCTACAAACCTCTCTTCCAACAGGAGTTGCCCGAGACCCGCCCATCGCAGTGATGACGTCATCACTACGTCACCAGCAAATTCATTATCCTCCGCCCTGCCTGCTGTCCTGCGAGGTGCCCCGGAGCCGGGCACTGCCAGTGCCTGAGCGGTCGGGACCGCGCAGGAGGCCCGGCGCGRGGGGCGCCGCTCCGCCAGCACCTGCCCACTCCAGCATGGCCTCGATGCCCTCCGCAGCTCCGGGCACCACGCGGCTCTGATCCGTGTCCTCCAGCCGCAGCACAAACGTGCCCCGGTGCTTCCTGGCGAAGATGTAATTGTAGAGCGCCGTGCGGAGGCCGCCCAGGTGCAGGAAGCCTGTGGCGGGGCAGAGCACGGCGGGGGCGCTGAGGGCCGCGGGGCGCTGGGGCGGGGGCCGCGCGGCGCCGC